ACATAGCTCCCGTTGATGCTGTCCCCGTGGACGCTGCTCCTGTTAACGCAGCTCCCGTTGACGTAGCTCCCGTTGACGCAGCCCCCGTTGACGCTGCCCCTGTTGACGCAGCTCCCGTTGACGTAGCTCCCGTTGACGCAGCCCCTGTTGACGCAGCTCCCGTTGACGCTGCCCCTGTTGAAGTAGCTCCCGTTGACGTAGCTCCCGTTGACGTAGCTCCCGTTGATGTTGCCCCTGTTGACGTTGCCCCTGTTGACGCAGCCCCCGTGGACGCTGCTCCTGTTAACGCAGCTCCCGTTGACGTAGCTCCCGTTGACGCAGCCCCCGTTAACGCTGCCCCTGTTGATGCAGCTCCCGTTGACGTAGTTCCCGTTGACGCATCTCCCGTTGACTTAGCTCCCGTTGACGCAGCCCCCGTTGACGCTGCCCCTGTTGAGGCAGTTCCTGCTGACTCGGCCAACTCGGTGGTGGAATCATCTAACCCTGCCCCAGTTGATGCTGGTGTCCCAGTAGACAGCTCGGTCAGCTCGGCTGTCGCGGTTCCAACCGAAGCAGGTGTATCTGAGAGCCCTATTGCAGTAAATACGGAGGGAATTATTGCAAGTTCAACTGACGCTGTACCCATCGACGTTACTAGTGCATCTGGAAGCAACGTATCTCCCTCTGGACCAGCTGAACCAGTTTCTAGCTCTGGGCAAGTCTCTGACGCTGTAAATAATATTGAGACTACAGTAGCACCTCAAGTTGTTCAAGAAAATACTAATACTCCCGCTGTACCGGAGTCAGTCTACGGTGAAACCTTAGCTCCGGTACCTTTTGAAGACGGTGCAGCATTGTTAGAAGTGACCACCCAATAATTATGAATTCTAGATTTGTACAATGTTAAAAATAGTTGTTTATTCTTTGATGTTTATTTAATTAAATAAGTTCTGGCATTTAATTTAATGTGTTTATTATTATAACAATATATAAATAGGTATATTCTATATTCTTTGTAAATAGAAAACAATTGATTAGGTATAAGACAATTTGTATTTAATAAAACAAGTAAATAATAATAATTAACCCTTTATTATCTAATGACTCTCGTAGTAACAATTTACAAATGTTTGGTTTTATAATAGGTATATCATTAAATGGAATGCAAAATAGAGGTAATTTCTCACAAACGTTCCTTATTAAAATAATTATTAAACTAAAATGTAATATAAATATATTAAATAAAGTTAATATTTACTAAATAAAGTTCCTAGTGATTATGTCAAATCCAGTACTTGTTAGCAGCATTTGGTGGATTTGGGTAGTTGTGCTGGGATAATGGATCTGACACGTTTGGGAATGAGTAAGGATCATTCATGTACTTATATTCACTTGACAGACCCGCCAGGCTCATATTCAGTGAATTATGTGACGGACTCCAATTAGAAGCTACAGAAGCATCTGCAGATAGTTTAGAATAATCAGCAGGAACTTTAGGGTAATCAGTATTTGGTAACGCTTTGCTGTACTCATCACCAGTCGGTTTATCGAAAGTGTCTTCTCTTGGCTCAATAACTTCATCACTGTTGACTTTATCGTCTACTTCAGCCTCTTTTGGTAAATAATTAATAGGTTTGTTATATATTTCGCTACTAGGATATCTAGCGTAGTCATTTCTTGGAATACCACTTTCTAATAATTGGCTATGGGGAGGACCATTGGCACTGGGCACTAAGTGGCTGAAAGTGGATCCTGAAGTACTAGGAAACGCTGCGTTTTGGAAGGCTTGGTTCAAATGCTGGGACTGAGCCATTAGTTGGTTATAGTTGGCATACTTTTGGTGGTGCCAGGCATCAGGGTGTTGGGGATGGTGTTGAGATAAAGAAGGAATCTCTCCAGCAGGATAGGGACATGGTATTTGAGGCATAGGAATGGAAGAGTAGCCACCAATGCCAGGACTGGGATTTGATCCAGTATGTTTTCGTAGACGGGCACGGCGGTTGGAAAACCAAACCTGGAAATCAAAACAAATACATCATTGCCAAATTTTCTAGCAAACAAAAATTGAAACACTGTAAATGGATGGTTAAAGTTTATTTATACGAAAAAAATACGACAACGTTTTTGCTAATCTAAGCAACAGATTAAATACAGAAATAAGAAATTTTCTTAGCTTAGCTTTCTTATCTTAATTTATACAAAACTTTAGGTGTAAAAATGGAAATATCGTAGAACAAATTTTTCCTCACGTTCATTAATTCAAAATCTAAAGAGATATAATTACGTCATTAAAACAAAGAGAGATTGCTGTTATCAGGGAAACGTATTCCTACGTGCGAATAATATTTGTTATTATTAAGAAATGTAAACTAGAATTAATCCTGATGTATGTAGATCGCACTTACGTTGAAAGCGATAGTTATATGTACGTTTACTAACTAACTTTGATGTCAGATAATATTGTGTTGATATGACAATCTGTGTGTTGTGTGATGTGTTTGTTTTATTATGTGATTATTATCTTGACATTTGAATTCAAATAATTATTCTTTTTTCATCAATATTAAACTCATCTTTGTAAAAGATCCGCCCTATGCCATGGAGAGAAAATATAAAATAGCCAGTCATATTTCTGTTGGATAAATGAATAATGCTGATTATATTCAAACAAAATTCGGTATTGCCATTGTTAAAGGCATATCCTTTACGGTTTTCGAGAACTCTCAGTATTAACATGGACTCTAAGATGGTACCTGATATAACAAAATAGGGTTTGTGTGTATGATATGATCTAGATTTGTACTGCAACAAGAATAATACGAGGGCAAGTTAAAGGTGCTTACTTGTATCCTAGCCTCCGTGAGTCCAGTCTGCAGGGCTAGCTCTTCACGTGTATAAACATCAGGGTACTGCGTCCGATGGAACGCTCTCTCCAAGGCATCCAGCTGTTCCCCAGTAAATGTGGTGCGGGACCGCCGCTGTTTCCTCTTGAGTGTCAACCCTGGCTCCGAGTCTATATCAGATGAATCTGAACCTCGGCCTGGAAAATAGAAAAAAAAAAAAAATATTTCGTAATCCTAATTATCAGTTTAGAGTGAATTTTGCAGAAAAGTCTGTACTGAAGTGCACTGAAGTGGAGTAAAAATACCACATAGAAGAATAGTCCTGAGAAGGAAAAATACGCTACGTCATTTTTAAAAAGTGTGATGTATTTTTAACTTGAATTTAAATCATTGATAAAGTACGTTTGTACAATGATTGAAAACATGTTGGGATTAAACGAATCCTTGTAACTATTGTCTATCAAGTCTTCCTCGATGATCTTAATGATAAAATAGAACGTGATAAACTGTCACGTTGCGGCGATCCTATAATTTATTTGACGTTATATTACAGCAATTTGTCTTCATCTCTTTTTTGTAACACGCGTTATTTATTAACGGAGTGTTTTTTGTGTAAACCCACATCATGTTTTAATTCGCCTAAATCAAGAACGGCGGGGCTCGCGGGTCGATCTCATTAATAAATTGGTAGCGGTATCCTACGGAAACTGATTAAAAAACACCCGCAACAATACACGGCTTTGGCCTTAAAACTGATTTCAAAAAATGCGGCTTATATTAATAGCCTTTTGAAAGAAGTCAAAATTGAATGAGATGAAAAAATAGGGGCTCAGCATGGCATGGAATAAGGAACACCCAGAGCGGCGGTCTCTTTGTCGGCCTCTTTGCTGTTCGGGTGACATTTTGGCACCATTCAATATTTTGGTGTCGCGAGCTGGATTTATGACATGTAAGGCGAAAGCACGGGTTTAATACGACACCCGCAGAATTAACTTGGTAGGTGTGCGCAAACATGCGAGCTAACACTCAATTTATGAAGGTTACAAGTAAATACGGGTACTGAACTCTTTGATGCTAATATTACCAAGTTCCTGCAAATTGCTTTGCATTTTTAATTAGATTTAATTGGAGTTTAATCGGCTTTTAGGGATTTTGTTAGATAAATAATTAATTCATTACAATAAGTACACAGTAATGCTTCTTTCTTTGTGCGTGTTCTTTTATTTAATAAGAAAAGTTTCAACAACAATTGTAAGATAATTGCACTCGAGAAAAAAGTTTTCATATAAAAATGTTTTATTGCTTAATGTTTATTTATTTGCAAAAGTTTAAATAGTCTTATATGAGGATATTTGTATGATAAATTGTTTTATTTAACTAATTCGTTTCCTCATAATGATGCATCGGCATAATTAAACGCACGAGGCAACATCTCTAAGCACAAAGGTTGCGACAAATAAAAAACAAGGCATTGTAATAAAATGATTTACATTGCTCAAATTCTCCGGCTGGCCGAGACAGGGACAGATTTATTTAGTCTTTTTTGTTACGAGTCCTGATCATAACGTATGAGGCTAAATACAAATCGAAAATACGAAATAATCGAGAGCGATTTAAAACTTTATGGCGTGGTCGTAAAGTTCACTCCGCTTGTTTTCATTGTGGAGGTGCACTAAAGCAAATCTATGAGGGATTTTATGTTCAAAGAAAGGCGAGAGGTTTATGGATGAGTGGTACGTGGGAGAGGGCGAGAGAAACTTTGGCGATTGCCGAAATGTGACCCCGTGAAGAGGCGCGCGCGCGGCTCCACTCAAAAGTCATAATAAGGTTTAACACCTTCATAATCTGGGTTCATTAAAACGGTCGGGTCGGCCTTTGTTTCAGCGGGTTGTTTCCATGTTAACAGATGGTTGGATTAGCACGTCTGCGTGTTGTGGGCGGCGTTGCTTGTTCCTTGCCGCACGCTCGACAGCTTCTTTATTTTAATGTAGGTATTATTTCAAAATATTTTTCATTCTTATTTTGTGTTACGATTTCCGAAGATTAAATATTTGAAGTACCGATGTTTTCAAAGGTTCAAAAGTATTATTGTTCCATGATCCAGTAATATTCTACTTAACTTTAATCCTGCTGAAATTTTACTAAAGTTTCAGCTGTGGTTTATCTATAAAAGCGGGATGGCTGAACTATTACTATAACAAGGTCGCTTTCACCGCTTTGTTGTGGTTTACTGTACGTAATTGGCATCAATTTACCATTATTTGGCTAACAAAAAACTCGTGAAAGGATTCCTCTATTCTTCAGCAGACATTGATTCAAAACGTTGTATTGTGATTTCTTTGACTGGTTTTGGGATGAATGGATATGTTGCAAAACATTAAAAAAACTAGATTAATGCAGAAACTATCAGCGTCATGACATTACATTACAGTGCCACTTCAATCACATCAAACATACTACAATAGTTTTATTAAAATAAATTCTCTGAGGTCATAAAGAGACACCATAAAGCTATGATGTAAGCTTGTTAATGCTCATTCAAAAGTACTCCGCCTCCTCTTTGTCGGTCGCTTTCGGCCACTTCCGGAGAGTCTCGTGTCTTTCTGGGAGGGCTCTCATTGAATAATGTGATGAGACAAAATTGTCTTGAATACAACGCGAGGTAATAAATGCCCACTAAATAATTGTGAGGCCGCGCGTGTTAGACATTGAATGCGGTTTACATGGCGTAGGTATGGACATCAGTAAAAGTGTAGATGAAGTGGTTTAAATAACATTAATTTTGTACTTGAACTTGAGGATGCAAACTGCATACCATAGGTTTTTCGCATTTGTTACTAACTGCAATGAGTACAAGATGTATTTTCGTGTACCTACCTAAATATAATTATCAAGATCAAAATAATAATTATTTGTTTGCATGCAAAGTAAGAGATGAGAAGATTGTGTTTGTATAGGTATAATAAAATATTCCTTTTGTAAAAAGCTTTATGGAAACCGAAGCTAAACCGAAGTCAGATATAGAGTAAGTGTTCTGTTCGTCACTTCGATAATCGCCTCTGTGGCTGCGGTCCGCGACATTAGTTGATTCTAACGACCGATGTTATTAAACAAATGC